AATGTTCTAAGTTAATTTCACAAATTCAAGTGGGAAGAGAAATCTTGAATGGGTTCCAAACTGAATATAAATTTCCCCATTGGGCAGAAACAAGATGTCATGAAAACTCTACCTGTATAACACTGTAAGTCTCTTTCCTTGTTGCAGTAATTCTGGAACGCGGTTGCCTGCGTGGCTCAGTTGGTTAAGCAGCTGCCTTGGACTCAGGTCATGATCTCAGGGTCCTGGCATTCAGTCCCACATCCAGTGTCCTGCCACATCTGGTTCCCTGTCCCTTCCTCTTCCTCTGCCACTCGCTCTGCTTGTAGTCCCTCACTCTCTCTGTGTCAAATAAATGAATTAATTTTTAAAATAATAATAATTCTGGAATGCTTGCATCTAACAGTTTCACAGTAAATAGCAGCTAACATTTATTAGGCATTTCTTTCGAGCTGAATCCTGCTGAGTAAGTAATATGCATTATCCCATTTAATATCCACAAAAATCCCAGAAGCAAATCCCATAATCACATACTTACAACACTAATGAAGAAACTAAATCTCAAAAGAGCTGAATAACTTACATAAAGTCACGTAGTAGTAAGTCAGATGGCAGAGCCCAGACAATTGTATATATAGCCCAACAGTATATGGCTCTGCAGAAATACACCAACTTTTCCAGAAAATATTCCTGGTTCTTTTTCTTCAAAGGACTTTTAAAACTAGGCAAACCTAAACATCACATGGTGAAATAAATTTCCTTTTTAAAGTTCCTCTAGGTAAAGCAGAGATAAGCAAACTTTTTCTGTAAAAGAGCCAGATAGTAAATGTTTTAGGTTCTGTAAGTATTTTCTGCTGTTTGTTTTTACAGTCCTTTAAAAATGCAAAAATCTGTTTTCATTTGCTGGTACAAAACCAAGCCACGGGCCAAATAAGGCTTGAATGCTCTGGTTTACTAAATCCTGCTCTAATAGCAACCTGCTTATCATTTTCACTAAACCTAAATTATAATACACATTTCACTCTATAATTTTTTCATAGACTTATTTAGACCTCTGCTTATTATTCATTCTCTTAGAACATAATTCCTTCCTGGGACATCTTACGATTTACCTTATTATCCATCTTATCATGACTACAGGAAAACCTTCAAAATCACTACAAATTTGCCTTTGCAGTATCTTTCCTTTTTGAATGTGCTCAGCTAATCACAAAAAAGATTTCTGCACATTCAAAGCTCTTCTTTTGCTTCCTTTCCTATTGTTAAAAAATTAAAGAAATATTATGGTTTTCTAGTATTTCCATGCAATCTGCCCACTGACCATTACTTTAACGAGATGTCTCCATTTTGCTTTGTTTTTGTTTTCACTGGAAAGCAGTTCAGAGAGTCTCTCTTTCATAATGTTTACCTAATCTGTCTTTTATATCAGGCAGAATTTAAACACAATCTTTTTCTCAGCAACTGCTTAAACAAAGGATGATTCAAGAATGTATCAGAAAAGTCATTTCTTCCTCAACTATTGTTTTATTTATTACATATCTGCATTAGAATGATATGTTAATGAATATAAATGTTGCTAATCTACTTCACAACTGAATCTGAGAAATTTTCTTATGGGGAGGCCTAATCATGGAGAGATGCCAAGAATCACCAAAATGTCACCAAAAATCACCAAAAGAATCACCAAAATGCCAAAAATCTCCATTTTTGCTATAAAATGTCCACTGACCTGCTCTCCACTACAGAATGACATGTTTCCTTTCCTGCACTTTAAGTCCAAGACCTTCTTATCCTGTGCCTCTGTCTTCTATTCCAATACAAAATGCCATATTTCAAGCAGACTTAACATCTCAGAAGCAGGCAAGGCAATTAAAAAAAATAACTATAATTTCTCTCAAGGAGAAGAGTCTTAGTGGAATGATTTAGCTTAGGTTTTGCTGAATCCAAACAAGAAAGAAATAATCAAAATGAAATCTTGGAATCAATAAAGTACTGAAAAAAATATCTCCAGGGTCAGTTTTAGAAAACTGAATCCAGAAGTACATACCTGATACAAAAGGTATAGCCAAGACAAAGAAAGACTGACAAGCTAATTTAAGTGGGAGAAATGGAAAATACCAAATGAGGTTAACTGGAAAGTTACCTAACCTTCCTGTAACAGACATAGAGAAAGCAGTATTAAGAAGATTTAAATGTCACCATTATCCATTGTTGGTCCATTGGCTTTGTAACGTTAAGTAAAATGAGTGCCCCACGAATTTCCAGAATACTATACTTGCTTCTAATATTTCCAATAATTGTTCTAGAACACTGATAGTTATGAAGTATATGGAATTACTCTGAAAACAAAAAGGACACATTAAAGATATAGGAATCATAATATAGATAAAATAGATCATAGCAGGAAATCAAAAACTAAAGAGGATGTAAATAATGCTCTCTTTTTGTCTTGCATATATAGACATAGATTACAGAGTCCCTGCCAAGACTAGACCAAACTGAGACATTGCTCCCTACCACTTTTCCAGGCCAATCTTCCATGGTGTCATTAACAAGTTCACTTGCTTTCTATTTCAGATTATTTCTGTAAACTTGGAAGTGGATTCTACAGTCCCTTCCATCCTGCACAACTTTCTCAAAACTCTAAAAGGAAGTCAACTCTCAACTTGAGTAAAAACAGAAAATACATTTCAAACTACAAAAACAAATCCCAAGGTAACACTGATACAATAAAATTGTATTAATCCACTGATTGAAATAAGTGAAGTTCTCCATATCTTAATTATGTCTGCAAAGTGTTAGAAAGCATAAAATAACCTGAAAAAATCAATAGGGTTGGTGTAAGGGTAGAAAGAAGGTTGGTAAAACCCTTGTACTGTGAATTCTACTTTAATGGACTTTTCTATTAACTAACATCTGATCCTGAGACCCTTTTTTTTCCTGACTATGAAACATTTTAGTGCAGAGGTAAGAGTGTAATGAGGAGTAGAATTTCAGCTACAGTTTTGTACTCCAGAAGAGCAGAACTCAATGGCCAGTAGGCTGTAAGGTTACCAGTTGTGCCCCATGTCACAATACCCAGTGCTAATTTAAAATACGCCATAATGCTGATTTATAGCCTAGATGTTGGTAATTTCCATAAATTATTTCTAAGAATTATATCATTGATACATATAATTGCTATGGTATGATTATGAGTTCCTAAAATGCCAAGTGGCTCCCATACTGTAAGAACAATCAAAGAATAAATTATACCCATTCATTAAAAAAGAAAAGTAAACAGCACTGGATAATTATGCTTTTCCAATATTTAAAGAAAACTAAATTTTCAAGTGTGGATCAAGGCTGGAAATAAACATTTCTGGAAATCCATCAATTTTTCAGGTCACTACAAATCATCAATTAAATGAGTAAGAACTTAATTAAGGTAGTTTGAGAATTGTTCTAATGAAGCTATAGACTCAAAAAACCCTATTTCACATCAATAAAAATTCTATTCCACAGTCAATCTTGACTGCAACAAGCATAAGGTAAATACATTAACACTGGTTACTAGCAAGAAGGAGGGAAAGAAATTGATATTATAATCTATATCCACTACTCAATGTCATGTCAAAAGCTACTACTTCCCACCAATGGCAATTCAACAGCTGAGGGTTTATAATTTTAAAACACTATGTGAGAACTTTTAAATTATTTAATGTTTTCCTCATAACAATTTTGTAAGATAGATGCCACTCCTATTTTGTAGATAGGAAAATGAGGTTTAGAGAAATTAGATAGTTTGCAAAATACTATATTTTTATTATGCGGAAAAGCAAGGAATCAATTCAGGAAATTTACTTCTGAACCTGCCCTTACCCTGGGATCAGTTATGGGAAAAAAAAAACTAAACTGACTACCTAGAAGTGCAATCATAGCTTCAAAATTGTATTCTAGTTTGATGATTTTATATAGTAGAAGTATCTAATTCTGAAATCTTTATAAAAATGGTTCCTAAAGTTCTTTCTAAAAATATGTACTTAAAAGACAACTGGTCTAATCATTCAAGAGACCATACCATGGGAGAAAAGAGAGGAGAATGTTTTAGAATAAAAGAAATTAGAGATAAAAGAAGTAAATGTAATGCATGGTCTTTATCTGAGTACTGGTTAGAACAAAACAACTAAAAATACTTTCGGCAAAATTCAAGGAAATTCACATATGGACTGAGTCTTAGGTTATCTGTGAATTACCAAAGTTGTTAGATGTTACAGTTGCTGTGTTATAAGAGAAAGGTTTTTTTGGAGTTAACTATTTAAAGAAATATTATAATGAAATATTTAGAGATTAGCTCTCATGAGTTCTAGAATTTACCTGAAAATTATAGTAAATTACAGTAAAACAATCAATTTAGCATCTATAGCAAAAGGTTAAAAACTGAGAATTCTAAGGAAGAAGCGTATGGTTGTACATTTTACTACTGTCCTCACTTTCCTGTATATTTGAAGTTTTCTCAAAATAAAAAGTCAAAATTTCAAAACTGCTCACATGAAAGAAGTCAATGTTTATCTTTCAGCTCTGAGAGAATTGTTCTTTACCAGTATTTAGCACCTTGCTATTCTTTTTAATCTTCTGACCTTAGCTAAATCATACTTTTTGACAGAGGGAAAAGGGTGCTCCATTACATGAAACTGTCAGAGGGCACTCAGCTTACTTTGAGAAGCCAACAGGAAAATGTGTAAGAGCTGTTCCTGCTGGAAAGACCTGGGCCACAGCTGTCCAAGTCTTCTTAAGTGTCATCATTCAGTATCATAATTCTCATCAATCAAAAGTAAATTATTCACTGAGAAGCTCTTATTGTTACCATATTGATCAGGAAGAACTGATACACAAAGGACTGCTGTTAACCCCGCAAATTACAACTATCCTCTCTTTGTCTCTGAAATCAAATTCCTTGACAGAAGTGACCTTATCCCGAATCCAATAAATTTCCTATTTCCAAAAAAACTCAACTGAAGAGCTATAAAACCTGCAAATTCTCTTGTGCTTTCTCCTCCTTTGCTTCCAGTTACCATCCTAAAAGGATCAGCTGAAGGCCACCAGTTGGATCGAACATCCTAAGAAGAAAGACTCACACCAGGCCAGGTATATGAATATTTTAGATATATCGGGGACTAACCTATCAAGCAGCTTTCAGGTTATATACATATACTGACTAATGGCACCAGTTGCTGTAATAGTTATTCTCTTCTTGTGAACTGCTAAACTATGTGATAACAACTCAACTCACATGTTATCAGAAGAAAATATAATCAGTGGAGAATATTTTTTAATCTTGAAAAGAAACGGACAGGATATTAGGAATCTGTTAATGTAACATTAACATTCCTTTCTCTAACTGGGCCAGATGGTTTTCTTCTTGGTATACTCGTACTATAGTAATTACCACCGCTAAGCCTTTATCATGGACCATTGTGCCCAGGACAATCTGTAATATATATTATTCCAGTCAATCTTCAGTACGACCTTAAAATGCAGGTTTGCAACTCACTCAGAGTCACGTAGTAAGTGGCAGAGCTGCGATTTTAACGAAGTATGACTGACTGTGACACCAGTGTGATAAATGGTAGGGCTCTATTGTGAGATGTATCTGATCTGACAGCACACTACGTTGATGTGTGCACACAAATTTACTTGCCGTAACAGTACTCATTCTAAATAATGATTTTACCTTTGTTTTCTGAAATCAAACTGATATGTACATATGGTATACAGGATCAAAATAAGAAAAAGAGAAGGCCATGTCCTTCCCTTACTCTCCCCTCCTACAGCCTAAAGCCAAGGATACAATTATTTTTGGAAGCATTTTAATTGATTAAATCTGCACTCTGTATGGACTGTGATGATATAAAAACGAGTAAAACATAATTCCACCCTTTAGAATTTAGAAAAAGGGCATAAAATAGCAAAATCTTCAGTGGAAGGAAGTTTGGGAAAGAGTCCCTTTGGTATGGTCCTTCATTCCCAGTAACAGCCTTGTAACACAGAGATAAGGAACACTTTCCTTGCTTAAAAGAACATCATAGAACATTTACAAGATCATGAACATTTACTGCTCAGTAAATATCAGATAATCTGTAAAATGGTTCTTCAAACAGGGAAGTTTCTAGAATCAGAACTGAAATAGGAAGGAAAATACTTCTTTCTCCTAACTGTTAAACTTCCTAAGATCCTGCCCTTCCTAGGCAATCTTTAGTATCAGTGAAAAATGCCCATACTACAAACTAGTCATAACAGTAATTCTTGACTCTCCTCCATTGTTTTCTCTTAAAGAATGTGTTTTAGTTTGAAGTAATTTTGCCTTACCACTATGGAGTGAAAAATATACACATAATTATCAGAAACCACTGCCATCTTTTAAACTGTACTTTCTAACAAAGCTAAGTCATTAATCAAAATGCATCCCATCTCTCACAATATCATAATAGTGAGCAACTTTTCTGCTTTTCCCAAGAATCAAGAGAAAAAGATGAAGACTCTGACACTGCTGGTGTGCCTCTGTGCACTGAGTGCTTGCTTCTCAGTAAGTATCCACCCAAATAACTGTTATTCTTACATATCAATAACCTTTAGTATATATACTTATTTGAGACTTGAAAAGTATGTGCAATTCCTATTTCCAAGACACTTACTATATTCTGTTTTCTGTGAAACATAAGAAAAGAGCTAATTAAAGCACAAGGAAATGATTCATTTCATTCATTTTAATATTTCCACGGCACTAACTTTACCATGGGTGTGATGAGATAAGACAGAGATGCAAAAAATGAATCACATAAGGCCTCACTGGTGTAGAACATGGATTTCATTTTCAGGATATCCGGAAGCCTCAGGATGACTAGACCGTCCAGTGGGGAAGGACTTGACTCCGGGTCCTGGGGAGAAAACAAATTTCAGGTTACAAAAACTAAGAGAAACCAGGCAAGAAGCTAAGGCAGTGGTCCAGATAAAAGATGATGGTCTCTTGCACTAAATATCAGCAATTAAAACAAAATATTAGGGTGGATTTAAGATGTAGTTTGGTGATTAAATCTACCATAACTTATGCTGCTTAGGTGTATAGTGAAAAAAGGAATGAACTTTAGAGTTCTGTTTTAGACAAGTTAAATGTGAAATGGCTCTTAGACTTCTACAACAAGATGTCAAGAGACAAGTGGATATACACTGTCTGAAGTTAAGTTTAAGAGTGAAGTTTATATTTTAAAGCTACTGAAGCCATGGAACCTTATAAGATCACCTAGAGAAAAAATGTAGGTAGTTTGGATATGGATAGGGAAAATGAAGGAAGCACAAAAGGGGACAGGAAAGTACAATTTCCAAAACCAGGAAAAGAATACAAAAATGGACACTACCTTTAAAATACTTAGGGTCTGGGACACCTGGGTGGCTCAGTCGTTAAGCATCTGCCTTCAGCTCAGGTCATGATCCCAGGGTCCTGGGACTGAGACCAGCATTGCACTTCCTGCTCAGTGGGGAGTTTGTTCTCTCTCTGCCGCTTTCCCTCCCTCTGCCCCTCTCCCACTCATGTGCTCTCTCTGTCTCAAATAAATAAATAAGATTTAAAAAAAAAAAAAAACATTTAGGGTCTACTGGGGAGGTAAAATTGAAATTAGCAGTGACTCAAGAGGATACATGATGTAATAAAGAACCATATTTATATCTAAGGCTATATACCTGTATGTACTTGTTCACTTTTATTTTGACAAATTTGAAGAGAGGGTTAAGAAGTGACATGTAGATTTATTAAGTGAGACTGAATAGCCTCAGAATACTATGACTATAAAAAATAGAGAAGGCAGGAGAACTGCTAAAGTAGACAGAATTACTCTTGGGTAATCTCCTATTCCCCACTTACCACATAATATCCATACCCCCACCAATATATCTATATCTATATCTATATCTATAACTTGGGCTTTGTCCAGACCCTAGCACTGATTTCCATGATTATAGCAAAAAGTGCACTCTAATGGTGCTCAGAAAATGTCAGCTTATGCTCATCATCTGAACATCCAGATGAATCTTGAACTATAATTTATCTATAGGGCCCCAATAGGGAAATAGTAGTAATGGTAAAATGCCTCACAAAGCTGCTAAAGTATAATAAGAACCATGTGTATTTATAAACTATAAAACTGAGTACAGATGTAAAAATCATGACTATAAAATTGTTATATATTCTCCTAAATTGTTATAAATTTTATAATTGTTATAAATTGTTATAGTCATAAATATTCTCCTAAAATTGTTATAAATTCTCCTAAATTGTTATATATTCTCCTAAAATATATTCTCCTAAAATCTCCTGAAATTCCCCTAAAATTATTATATATTCTCCTAAAATTTAATCTCCTCGGGATTCAGTTCTTTCATTTTTATAATGAGGATAATAATAGTACTGACCTTCTGGTGTTGCTAGGGAATTAAGAAAATTTATATTTGTAAACCACTTAAAATAGGGCCTGACACAAAGTAAGTGCACAAAAAAGTATAAGGACTTTTTTACAAAGATAAATGACAGATGTGAACAAGCAAATGAGGATATATTAAATATGCTCTTCCTGGCTTACCTATATTTATTATAACTACTTCCATCCTTCAATCTAAGTTCAAACTCTCAGAGGCATTTCCAACCCCACCCCCTCTCAAATTTCCCTAATCCCATTTCTAATCAAAAAGTTCTGTCACAGCTATCCATAACTGCCAATCATAATTATTAGTCATTATATTTTAAGTAAACTAGTCAAACTGGTCATTTAATACATGTTGTCTGCTAAGCTAACATTAAAGCTAATAAGGTTTTAATTAATTTGTCTTCATCAAGAGATCACAGATATATTTTGGTCATCTAAATTAAAAGAGCTGACACTTTTTCACATAACAAACACTTATAAATGTTAAGATTTTATTTGATGAGAAATTTGGCTTTTTTATTATCAATTCTATGAATTTGTTCATTCAGTAAATATCTAGTGGGTGCCTATTATGAGCCAGACATAGTTTTAGGTATTGGGCATACAGAGATTAACAAAACAAAATCCCCACCCTCATGAAGCTAATCATCTGATTAAGGGAATGAACAGGAGTAACTATTGGAAATAGTTTGAAAGCAAAGAAGTCATAGAATTAGACTTCGGATCTGCAATTTAGTTTAATTTGAATCACTTCAGAAATGAGTACACTGAGATCTAGTGAAATTAGGTGATTTGCCGAAAGTCACTCAGTATTAATGCCAGATACAGGACAGACCCAAACCTCTCCTGATGGTCTGCGGCAGTGTGTTTCAAACATCCTCCTCTAAGATCTGGGAGTTCTTCACATCATCCTCAAATACCACACAAAAAAGTAGACACTGAGCCGGTGGAATTCAAGGCCCCCAATCCTACTTCAATCAAAGCAATTATGTGATTATCTGAATCACTCTTTGAATCTTGAGGAAAAATTTGATTAACAGGGTGACCTACTTATTTTATAATAAAAAAAATTGCCTTATAATAGATGCTTCTGATCAGAGGAACATCCTGGGTTCAGAGTTGTAGACTCTGGAATTCTATGCCCATTTATTAGACAGCTATGCAAAAATACCAGTTATGTGGATCATAAGCCAATATTTTAATATATGAACATTCACAGTTATGAACTGAAATGTCCTGGATAATTTAATTTTTTTAAAGGATTAATGCTTTCCAAAGTTATTTTTAAGGCTGTGTATATTAGTCTCTGAGGAAGTTATCTTAGCTGGACAACTGCCAATCTCTCAAAAGTTGTCACCTTTGCCTATGCCAAGTCTTATAGTGTGGGACTGGAATGATTTATCTATTAGGTGGTCTCAAAAGGGTCTATATGGAAGTTATCAGAAGGTAAAAAATAACCCATACTTGCTTGGAACTCCGAGTGTGCCCCCTTATCCTTATGTTATATTTCTTTTCTCTAATTTAAATTAATGTAACTGATCATTTAAAATTCAGTATGAGATGAAAAGCAGGAAAAAAGAATATAAATAAATTGCAGTATGTTTAGAGATAAGATACTGAAACAGTTATGGTACTCCAAGTCAAATAATGTCAGAAAGTAAAAATGCTAATGTTGCAGAATATAAGACCCAAATGACATGGTAAATATTTTCAAATTTTGAGTATCTCCAGGATCTTCTATGTGCTGCCAAAATACAAAATTTGGACCAAGAATGAATACCTAAAAAAACCAAATCTCAGTTCTGTTAAGAATGGACCCCCCCCCCGAAAAAAAAAAATCCATTTAGTATCAAGAAGAACTCTGAGGCAACCTGTGAGATAGGTAGAGAATACCTGATTAGTAGAAGTTGTCAAGCATAGGCCGGAAAGCCATTCAGGTATACTGGAAAAAAAAGATCAAGTATTTGTTGGGGAACTGGACTAAATCAGTGTTATTTTCAGATGTGAGTATCTTTGAGAAATCATGAAAGCTATAGGTCTTCTCCAGACAAAATGCATAAACATGCAATATTTACCTACAATATCATAGGATTAACTGATGTCTCAGTTTCTGTAATTATAATTTTTATAATGATATAATTAAAAGGTAGTGGCCAGGGTGCCCGGCTGGCTCAGTTGGTAAAGCTTATGACTCTTGAACTTGGGGTCGTGAGTTCAAGCCCCAAGTTGGGTATAGAGCCTACTTTAAATAAATAAACTAAATATGAATGACCAAAGTTCTTTTTCCAATTTAAAGAAAGCTAAGAACTAAGTTTTCTTCAATGTGGAGGATATAAAGGTGAAGTGGGGTATTTGTTAAGTTGGTTGTTTAGGATTTTGTTGTTTTCTTTTTTTTGATGATGGCAGATGTGAAAGGTATGATTCAGAAAAGACTCCTTGATCTCAGCTGAATGTCTTTGACAGAAGTTTCATGAGTCTAGAGTACAGCAAACAGGGTACCCTTTTGCTCAGTCCTCAGGCAGTAACCTGATCATTTTCTACAGTGAAAGAAGAGAGAAACTATAAACACAAAGGTTAGATCTAGTTAATCCTCCAAGCTTGAACCCACAGGAATATATCCATTGTAGCTAGCTCAGAAATAAATGCTCTTGAGATTTGGCAAAATTAGAATAATCACTCAACCCACTGCAATCCAATTTCCATTCCCAAAACTCCACAAATACTGCCCATCCAACATTCCACAATAATCTCCTAGTTGATAAATCAATGAATGTTTTCAGTTCTTGCATTCTCTTTCTTTCCACAGCTCAGTGAAGGTCGAAAAAAGCCTTCAACACATCACGAAAAGAAAAACGTCCAAAAACTTACAGAAGACCGCCAATTACTACTGTATCTAAAATCTCCAACTCACTGGCATATGTTAACTAAAAAGTATTTAATTTTTCATCCACACAAAAACTCAAAGCCTTCACATCTAAATAGGAGAAAGCCAAAGCCAAAGCGTCCCCCGCCATCTAAGTGTCCAGTGAAAAGTAGCAGTGCGGAGAGTAACTCCTCAGAGGCTACCACCTCAGCGGCTACCACCTCAGCGGCTACCACTCAAATCCCATCTTTCAGTCCCACATCTCCAGGTGTGACTCCACTTATTGATACAACCACATCTGCAGGGCAAGGTAACATGAGCTCCTCTGCAGCTACCCCATCATCACAACCTTCCCCAGCTTTGTCAGACACCACAGCTGCCCCCCCTACATCTTCCCTACCTACACCAGCACCAGAACCTTCCTCAATTCCACTGGGCACCACAACTGCCCAAAATACCACACCTAATCCTTCCCCAACCAGTTCTGCACCTGAAACTTCCCAAACTACAGCTGTACCCACAACTGAAACTACCACTCTGGCTACTACTCAAACTACTACTGTGGAACAAACAACCTCACCTTCCAGCCAAAGTCCAAATTCTCAATTCTGGCAATATATTTATGAGATACTAAAGTACATTTCTGGTGTTGCACCAAAGAAATAGTACATGATACATTATGAAGTGTTCTGCTGTCAGATATGATTTATGAGTGCAGAACTACCACCTTTACTTTACCACCAATCTCAAAGTGAAATTACAATATTCCTCAAATTTAAAGCACTATCACTAATCTTTGAATCTATTTACCTCACATGACTTATTAACGGGAAAAACAACCTCTATCCCACAAAACAGGTGCATAACCGTAATTTAAGATCATTTTGTGGAACCTACAGAGATAGCCCACTGAGGGGAGGGAAGATAATAGCTAAACAGCAAAAATTATATGGATTAGGAACTATTTATTTTTCCCTAAATGTTGCAAACCTTAAGGTCACTACTCTGTACCTGAAGTGAGAACCCACCTGAATTGTCTAATCCCACAAATATAAAGGGATAAAATTAGGTCTCTCAAGTAAACAAAAACATGTAAATCTAGATAGACCTATCATCGTGTTATTAGAGACAAAAGTCCTTTAAACAATCATCTTAAATCTTGAAATCCAATTCTATCCCACAAAATGTGAACCAAGGAGGAGGAAAGCTGATGTGAAGATCTGAAGTGAGCAAAAACAAAATCTGGCAGCCAAGCACAAATCAAGTCTCTGGCACTACATATCTGAGAGCATATAATTGTTTAGGCTTTGTGGTTGATATTTATCGTATTTGTAAGTTAATTTGGATCCAATGTACTTCATTCTAGCCTCTGTAAATCACAAGAAGACTTTTTGTGTATGTTCACATAGCTGTTGTCATATTTTAGTATGAATTCAATTAATCTTATCTTACTAATTCAATTAATTCACATTAATTCAATGTATTCAGCAGCAGAATATTTTCTAAAACTTTTAACCATCTATTTGTGTTTTAAAGCAAACCAAACTACTGCCCTGATGTCACATTTGCAAAACTGTCTCTGAAATTAAACCCTGATTCTAGTCAACAGAAGAATAAAAACTATCTACTAGGTATAGAGAGATAATGTTAATTTGGAATGTAGAGGTATTTTTACTTTGTGTTACTACTACTGAGAACTCTGATGATTTTATTCAGATTTTTGTCAACTAATAAAGACTTCAAATGGCAATCTATTTTCATTGTGTGTATCTGGAAGACCCTTACCACTGAAGATTCCAAGAAGGGTGAAAATAAACATCTGCATTCTTGTCAACCCTGCCACTAATTAGCCAATGACCTGGGTAGGATACTCAATATCTCTGAACACTGGGGTTTTTTTTAATCTTTTAAACAAAGTGGTTGATTTACTTAGATTAACTTAATCTTTACTTAAGTCTTAACTTAAAAATACATTCCAATCCAAATGCTGTTTGCCTGATGCTTCCCAGACTGACAATAAAAGACCCCCATTTTTCTCACTTAATTTGTTCCTTCAGTCTCATCTCAGACTAGCTCTACTAATCTACATCTCAGAACTACCAGAAAGAGAAATTAAGAAAGCAATTCAATTTACAATTGCATCAGAAATAATAAAGTACCTAGGAACAAATTTAACAAGGAAGTAAAATAATGATACACTGAAAATTCTAAGACACTGATAAAAGAAACTGAAGGAGACACAAATAATTGAAAAGATACGCCCTGCTCATGGATTGGGAAAATTTATATTGTTAAGATGTCTATCCTACCCAAAGCAATCTGTAGACTCAATGCAATCTTTGTCAAAATTCCAGTAGCATTTTTCATGGAAATAGAAAAAACAATCCTAAAATCTGTATGGAACCAAAAAAGACTGAAGATCCAACCAACCTTGAGAAAGAAAAAGCTAGAGGCATCACACTTTCTGATTTCAAACTGTATTACAAAGTTACAATAATCAACACAACACAGTAGTGGCACAAAAACAGACACAAAAATCAACAAAACAAAAGAGAGAAACCAGAAATAAACACACACATATATGGTCAATTAACTTAGGACAAAGGAGCCAAGAATATACAATAGGGAAAGGGTATTCTTTTCAATAAACAGCATTGGAAGAACTGGATATCTATACGCAAAAGAATGAAACTGGAGCACTATCTTACCACATACACAAAAATCAACTAGGAATGGATTAAAGACGAACATAAGACCTGAGACCATAAAGCTCCTGGAAGAAAACATGGGCAATAAGCTCTCTGCCACTGCTCTTGGCAAGAATTTTTTTGGATTTGATATCAAAAGCAAAACTAAACAAGTGATACTACATCAAATTAAAAAGCTTCAGAGGAAATGAAACCATCAACAAGTGAAAAGGTAACCTATGGCTGAGAGAAAATATTTACAAATCATATATCTGGTAAGGGGTTAATATCCAAAATACATAAAGAATTTATACAACTTAATAGAGAAAAAAACAATCTGATTTTAAAATGGGCAGAGGAACTGAAAAGACATTTTTCTGAAAAAGACATAAAAATGATCAATGGGGGCACCTGGGTGGCTCAGTGGGTTAAAGCCTCTGCCTTCGGCTCAGGTCATGATCCCGGAGTCCTGGGATCTAGTCCCACATCAGGCTCTCTGCAAAGCAGGGAGCCTGCTTCCCTTCCTCTCTCTCTGCCTGCCTCTCTGCCTACTTGTGATCTCTGTCTGTCAAATAAATAAAATATTTAAAAAAAAAAAAAATGATCAATGGGAACATAAAACTTGCTCAACACAACTGATCATGAGGAAATGCAAATCAAAACCACAAATGAGATACCACTTCACAACTGTTTGAATGGCTATTATCAAAAAGACAAAAAATAACAAGTGTTGGAGGGGGTATAAAGAAAAGGGAACTTTTGTGTACTGTTAGAAGGAATGTAAATTGGTGCAGCCACTAGGAAAACAGTATGGAGGCTTCTCAAAAAATTTAAAACAGAGGGATGCCTGGATGGCCCAGTGGTTAAGTGTCAAATTCTTGATCTCAGCTCAGGTCTTGATCTTGGGATCATAAATTCACGCCCACACTGGGCTCCACACCAAGCATAGAGACTGCTTTAAAAAAAATTAAGAACAAAAATACCATATGATCCAGTAATTCCACTGCTAGATACTTATCCAAGGTAAACAAAATCACTCCCTTGGAAAATATCTGGTTAAATCTTACAGTAGTATTGTTTCCCCCACTGATTTTAGTAACTCTAATGTTTAGAATTTTTAAAACTTTGATGTTTCTCTGAAGTGTCTGTGTTGGGAGTCAATTATTACCATAAAACTTCTCAACATAAATTTGATGCTTCTCCTCATCTTAAAAAAGATATGGTTTAGCCATTGATTAGAACAACAAAAAATTACCTAATGAGGCCCTTTGATTTGTGTCAGTATGGAAGAAATAAAATTTCCAAGGTCTGCATTCTTCCTGGGGAGAAGTTAGAGTATAAGTAGAGTTGGTTGTGTCTTAGGTGCCAGGGTGATATATATCCCATCCAAAGAAGCCCAGAGCCCAAAAAACTACAGGACTGAACACAAGCCACAGTCTTATATAGGAACACAAAGGTGTGAAGATGGGGAAACCAAGATCATTCAAAAGCACAAAGAACAGAAGCAAAGGGTCCAGACCTAGTAAAAAAAAAAAAAAAAAAAAAAAACAGAATGAAATAGATCTAGAGACAAGGAAAGAATGGAGCTGAGGTGCTCTGAAAACTAGACTGACTCTTGTTTTTTTATGACCTTTTAGCATAAATGCATGAGTTGGTGCTATGTAAAAAAATGGAAGAATTAAGACATATACACATGACCTATTTATTCCTATTCTATACAAACAGAATACTCTTCCCAGATGCTTTTAGTTTTACTAATAAAACAGATCCCAGAAACTTTTGCAGTCTGTTGTTGTCTTTCAAGAAAATGAAGATGAAATAAGGAAGTAGATATTTACTATCTCAAAACATTTTGTGAGTTTGAGACAGTACAGTGTGTAGTCCTTAGTACTGAGCATATCATCTCAGGTTCTAAACAGATTATAGCTCCCAAATTTTCATAAAATTTCCAAGAACTTAGCCTGTTTTCATATTCAACAATTTCATTCCTTCCCCTCAACCTGTGTCCTCCCTGAGAGAATTCCAGCCAATTCTACAAGTGGCAGCCAGAGAAATACTCTCCTGTAACTTCAACCAACAGGTGAAAAATTATATCAACTTCTTAAACAAAGGACCATCAGCAAAGAACAGTCCTTCTAAATGTATAAAATACATTCCCCAAATTAACCAGATCATATTATTGGTGAGAACAAGTGTCAAGCTCTTCTTAATCTTCTTAAGCTATTTATCCACAGTGTAAAAAATTGTACTTCCCCTTGAAGAAGATTATTTTTAAATTAATATATTTATTTGAGAGAGAGAGCACAAGAGAGTGAAAGAGAAAGCACAAGAGAGTGACATAGAGAGCATGAGTAGGGAGAGGAGCAGAGGGAGAGAGAGAAGCAAGCCCCGACGTGGGGCTTGATCGCAGGACCAGAGTCGAAGGCAGATGCATAACTGACTGAGCCACCCAGGTGCCCCTTGAGCAGACATTCTGCACCCTGTTTAAAAGCTGGTGTGACTAATGTTGTTGGAACTGCTGGCAGGAGAAGAGAGAAAAAGAAAGAATTATGCTTTGATAATAGGGAATTTTACTAGATACTTTTCAGAATACAATATGGCTGAAATGTGTATTACCTTATAGAAAATATTATTCCCAACGGGGGAATGGTCTCCACATCATGCTTCAAGATTATACTAGGTAAAAGACAAGGCTGGGCCTCAAACCCTGTACTATCAGTGCACACAGTCTGGCCAAGCCTCCTGCTCCCCCACCCCCCACCTCTGCCTGTCACTCCGTCCCAATAAGTACACTGTATGTTGTCATGATCAGTTAAATGAGGTACAAGTCCATCTGGATTTGTGCCCATGTTGAGAATGAGGAATATTTCAGATCACACATTAAAAGTACCATGCAGGACGCTTCGGTGGCTCAGTTGTTAAGTGTCTGCCTTTGGCTTAGGTCATGATCCCAGAGTCCTGGGATCAAGCCAGCATCAGGCTGCCTGCTCAGTGGGAAGCCTGCTTCTCCTTCTCCCACTCCTCTTGCTTGTGTTCTCTCTCTCTGTATCTCTGTCAAATAAATTAATAAAATCTTTCAAAAAAAAAAAGTACAATGCAAAACTACCCTGTCTTGAGCTGAAAAATTTAAGTGACTAAACAGCCTAGCTAGCTTACAAGTAAGAGTCAGTAATAGTCACATTAAGCTGTTTCTGGAAAAACAATTTTAAGTGACAGCCAGTGACTTTTTCCCCCAGCCTTCCATCCTAGAACAGATAGCTGCTAGTGTTCTAGTTCTTTTAAAACAAAGCCTTGAATTCAGAAATCTTTTGATTATTTGCATTACTTAGAGTGCTTTTATGGAGTGAATGCAAAGTTTAATGATAGCAAACTGTCTTCTCGGCTATAGCTAAAGTTGTAATGAGGAATGGCTACCTCTAGCCCATATTCACAGGGCCTTGCTGCTCCTCTAAAAGCTGTGACGCAAGAGGGGGGAAGAGTGACTCCCTGGCCCAGGGAAATAAGGAAAGTTTTTAA